ATCCGGCTCAGTAGACGAGAAATACACAGAATGAAGGACTCGAGCAAACTAACTTAACAAGTGGAGTGGAAAGCCCTAACCAACAAATAAAGATGGAGCTCTATGGAGCTTTTATCTTAATTGAAAGGTCTATGGGATATTCGAGCCAAGTGCATATGTTGCTGGCTGATGGGACATGTGTGGCGGTGCTGGTGATGCGGTGGCACATGCGGGGTTGCTAAGCCACCGGTGATATCATCACGAGGAACAGGCTCGAGTCGGCATGTGAGCGAAACAAAAGCTTAGTGTGAGGCGACTTGGCTAGCTGTCTGGCTAGTTGCGATATCTTCAGATCATTAAATCATTTTAGCTGATATATCATTAGCCGCTTGGGAAGGTTGATCTATCACTAATTCTATAGCGCGCGCCTCCCCTTACCTTCAGCACGCGCCCGTTGTCGTTTCGGCCTACTTATTTCCTATCGTCTACTTCCCATCGAGGAACAAGAAATACAAGCCCAAATTGCCATCTTTGTATCTTGAATTCATTTATTATGGCCATGCAATATCTCAACCAAATAAAAAATCTACGGCGTTCGTCGCGAATGATCAGCGCGCCCAAGCCTGTCCTGACGCCGGAAGATGAAGCCTACCTACGCGAAGTCACCGCCCAGTCGGTATCTGTGCCTATCCCAACCGAGCGAAATGAGCAAACACCAACAGAAAGCCCTGCTGCGACGTCTTTGCAGCCTGCGATAAGTGAACAAGCTGAAAACATCCCTCTACCTACCTCGCCTGTGGAGGACTTGGCAAAGGAGCTTGGCGAAGAGGGTAGGCAAGAACGGAAGGGCTCTCAGCCAACATTGACAAGGTCAGACACACCAAAGTCCGAAGTCTCAAAGCCTCCACAGAAGAAGAAACGGTGGAGTGCCATGTTTTGGAAGAAGAACACGGAGAAGGTCGGTCATTTATTTAATCGTGTTTATTTTCGGGTCGTCACATCTGGTTTGAGTCTCGACTGACATACGAGTTCCCGCAAATAGGATAAAGACGCCAACGATGCAAACAAATCGCAGACCGAAACTGCGACTCCTCCCACCACATCGGATACGTCAACCAACGGGAAAGACGCAGATAAAGATAAAGATGCTGAGGATGTGACGGATATTCTGGAGCGATTGAATCTGGCAGCGGATAACAACCGTGTATTTTCTATCAGTGAGGAGACGCAAGAGCTCTTACGCAAGTTCAAGCTCATCTTCAAGGATCTGATCAACGGAGTACCAACTGCCTATCATGACTTGGAGATGCTGCTGACCAACGGGAATCGGCAACTACAAGAAACCTATACGAAGCTACCCGGCCCCATGCAAAAGTTGATCGAGAAACTTCCCGAACGTTGGACGGAAACCTTGGCTCCAGAGATGCTGGCGGTTGCTGCCGACCGCGCCAGCAAGAGTGGTGTCGACATGGAGAATGTGGGCAAGCATGCTGCGGCTGCAGAGAAGATGGGAGTCAACATCCCAAGTCTAAAGGAACTGGTGTCGAAGCCAGCTGCTCTTGTAGGAATGCTACGATCCATCATGACATTCCTGCGAGCTCGATTCCCTGCTGTTATGGGCATGAATGTACTCTGGTCTTTGGCATTGTTTAGTAAGTGAAGCATCTCACCGAGTGCATGAATATTTGCTGACTATGGCGTTCTCCAGTCCTCCTCTTTGTGCTGTGGTACTGCCACAAACGCGGACGCGAAGTCCGTTTGGAGAATGAGCGTCTGGTGACGGAAGAAGAGATCGCCAAGCTCAACCAAGATACCTCTGAGGGTCTAATTCGCCCTACTGAGACTTTAACAACGACCGCGCCACCGGGTGCTTCGTCTGATGAAATACGTGAAGGCGTGAAAAAGGTGGAGGAGGCCCGCGCCGCTCCTACCGAATCTGCTGTCCCCGCCGAAGTGGAGAGCGAAAGCCAACAAAGTACCCGGCCAGCGGCAGTTCCTACACGGTCGAAATCGCGTTTGTCTATGTTTGGGCGGGCAAAGACAGAGCCTATGCCTAGTAATGTCGCTCCTTATCCTGGCACTTGATATCCATTTTTGTCGGTTTCGTCCACCTTAATCTTTTCTTATGGGACGGAACCATGGTTGTTGACCCATCAACCAAGGAACCATGGATTTGAGTGGGCGACCCAAATGGAGGGGCTGCTAAATGAAACCTCTCGCCCCGGAAATTATGCCCATGCATCTAAGACTTGAATTTATATTATTTTTGATCTAATTAATGTCATTCGTTCTTACGGCGCGCAAACCTCGGATTTCATGTAGTTAACCGCCTTCCTTTTGATAGTTGCTCTTGGCGGTCTCCACTTGTTTCCTCTTCTGTCAGATATCCCGGTTCACTTGCTTTTTAGTGCTCACTGTTCCGGCGATAACATAATAGCCATATTCTCTCAATATCGATTATATACTGTCGCCGTGGTTGGGCCTTCTATCAAGTGCTACAGACAATTATCGCCCCCACCTCGTGATTCCTAGCGCCCTGGGCAGACACGGCAACCTCCTCGCCGAACCTGAATGAAACTAACCATCTCTTTGCTTTCGCAACAAACTTTGCAAGCTACATCATGGTCACGTTTCTCGACCTCCCAGAGGAGACTCTTTGTCTCATTGCGGAAGACCTGAATTACCAGCGTGATCGCTATTCCCTGGTTCTGTCCTGTCGTCGACTGTACACAGTTCTACTCCCAACTCTCTACTCTCAGGTTATTCTTGGTGATGTTAGCAACCATACAGTTGGACAAGTCAGTCGATTTTTCAATGCAATTGCGCGACGGCCGCAGTTGGCGAATGCGGTGCGATCTTTACGCTTGGAGTGTTGGGACACCGAAGATGACAATGAGGACATCGACTGTGAATTTGAATATGAATCGGAACTTATCAACGGACTTGTCGCTGGTACCTGTTGGTCTACACAACCGTACGATCAACTGCGGCGCGGAAACACCGACGCTTGGTTGGCTTTGCTCATACCACAGCTAAAAGGCTTAAGACGAATCAGCATATGTTACCCGTTTGGGTCGGAATATGTTGAGCGAATGTTCGTGAGGGCTGCCAAAGAGGATGTCACAGCTTTTCCTCGCCTCACTGAAGCATTCGCCGAATGGTATGACACGGAAGATTCAATCCACGCAAGCTGCATGGAACCGTTCTTCAAATTCCCGGCGATGCGCAGGATTGGAGGATCATGTATGGTCGACTCCGGCCGTGAAGAGGGAGAACCACGCATCACACCCTTCTCGGGAGTCACAGATATTGACCTCGAGATGACCAACACCGAGTGTGGATTCGGTGTCTGGATTGAATCTTGCAAGGCTCTCAAGACTTTCCGCTTAAATGTTGGCGGAGAAATGATCTCAGATGGGCCCGATATTGTAACGGGTCCCCTTCGAGAATCTATATCCCTCCATAAAGCATCGCTAGAGGCGTTTTGGCTCTGTGGTGAATCGTATCAGGAAGATGAGATTGGATGGATTGGATCGTTTGCCGATTTCAATATGATGAAATATCTACATATTTCTTTATCAATGCTTGCAAAACTCGACGACAACCTTGAGCCGACGCGAGATCTCTTGTCACTTTTGCCGCCGTCCCTTGAGACTTTGTATTTGTGTCACTGCCACAACGAGCTGCTCGAATGGACCGTCGATCAAATCGAACGCTTGATAAATTCAAATTCTCTACCACGCCTTACTTCATTGGGACTTGAGGGTTACGGACCTTCAGAGGTCCATCAGAGTTCGCTGGAGACTATGCGCAAACTGGAGGAGTTGGACAAAAGATGTGCGGAAGCTGGTATATTCTTTGCTGCTTCTATTGGAAGTCACAGAGTGGTCCCGAGCCATTTTGTATCCCTTTGGCCTTGTTCCTAATTCGATGATAGCTGTATGGGCATGCTTGTGCGAAGTGGCGCTGTCCGTGATAGTAAGGCGGGGTCGGTTAGCGTGGTATATATTCCAGCAGATTACTTCGGTTTCTTATTGAGAATGGTATTCTATGCGCAGCGGTAGGGCTTTAATGTTGTCGCATATTATGGAGCTCAAAAAGTGAAACAACACACTTATTGAGGGGTAGAATTTTAGATATAGGGATGAGTTTATGATATCGTGGTCCCTACACTCGATTCCTTCTGTAGGGTAAGGGTTGTCAAGTCAATTTTGACTTAGCGAATTACTCAACAATCCACTTGTTGCTTCGATACTATTGTAGGGGCTTTGACCTACCCCGACTGTGTCGGAATCCGTCCAGGCGAGTTTTGACGCGAATATCACGTAAATTGTACATCCTGCCTAGGTATGGAAAGAGCGAAGAAATGCGGGGCAGCAAGCTAGAAGACTATCGAAGTGGCCAGGTGGAGGATTGACATCTGAACGGCGAATAAGCCATCAACTGAAAATATGCTAGTGCTGAAGAGATTGTTTCCCCTGAAAAAGTCTGATTGGTGTTGGAGGAAAGTAGAAATTTTTCCATCGCAGACAGTGCGGGGCAGAGAGATGGTCTTGCATTCCGAACATCAGTTAGAAAGGGGCAAGAATGTACTCCAGAAGAGAGAGAATCGTAAAGATCTTCTATTCTAGATTTACCCCTCATGATTCGTTATCCGCAAAGTTATATATCGTAGAATATAGATTGTACCTAGCTTTGCAAGTGTAACTATAGAGTTGTCCCCTCACCGATCGAAAAAGATAAGAGAGTAATGGATCTATCTCATGCATGTTAGACGCGCCCAGCCTCGGCCATGTTGTCCTTTTACCGCCTCTGATCTTTTTTAGGCCAGTTGGGACGGTTAGGCATTGGGGTAAAAGGAATAAGAGAAGACCTGCAGGTTCCCGGCTTGGGGGGAAGGGCCAAATTGCCAAGCCTGTCGGAATAGTAGAGCGCTTTGCCACTTGAAAGGAAAAGTGGCCGGATCTCTGGCTCGAACCAATTAGCCCATAGCCTTGGTGAAAATTTGGGTCATTGTGAAGCCCAAACACGAAACAATATGATTCATCTCAAGATGTGTCATCGATAAATGAAAAAAAAAAAAACTCCCGATGCTACGATGAATCATCATCATGCATGCTGCACGGGTCAGCCCTGCACCGT